ACGCAAGCCGTTGATCACTTTCCTCAGTTGCAAGTGGTTTCTTTCTGCCAATGAGTCCATAGGTGTGAGTAGTCTTTTAGAGTTACAGTCTGAGCACTTGGTTCAAGTCACTATGATGGCTGCTCGTAAGGCTGAGCTTGCTAGGAAACAGGGGAAGAAGCCTGCCAAACCTTCTCTCTTAAGCAGAGACAGGATGGAAGATGATGAAGAGCTCCTCCCTACTAACGATGAAGACGAGACTTCTGAGGAGGAGTATGTGGATATAGATACTGACCAAGAAAAACTTGATGCAGGTTTGTCATGCTCTTTAACCTTCTTTCTCAATTTCAATTGGTATCAACAAAAGGTCTTATTCACTCGTCCTAACGAAATGACTCTTATCACCTCAGGTAGGACAGTCGATGAGCACGAGTCGCTCGCTGCTCGTTATGCGAGACCCAGGCCTAGCGGCAAAGCTCCTACACAGGTTGAGACGCATGGCAAAGCCGCGCGTGAACGACTTGTTGGTTCTATGAAGGGTGGGATTCCGAAAAAGAAGAAGACCGCTCATAAACCATACGTTGGTCAGCGCTCCTATGGAGTGGATTTAGGAGACTTCATCGACGGAGAGGAAGGTAATATTTTATAGTCTTTCTTGCTTTAAGACGGTTTACCTTCTGGGATTCGTAATCATGTTTTATGTTCCAGGGTACTATGACGAGGGTGAGCTTCCACCGGATCCTGTATTCTCTGGTTCTGATAATATGGATAGCTTCATGCAGCAGATGTGCGACGCCATTCGTAACGATTCCATGGACGTTGATACTGAGCAGATGAATAGTGTTGAACCCACCATTCCATGTTCGGGTATACCTACATCCGATGATACCCTCCTCGAGCAATATTTAGAAGAGTTAGGGAATTCATGATTCATTATTTTTCGTGCTTCGCTTTCTTTCAGATTACTTGAAGAATCCAAGTGTGGATATTAGAGAAAAAGAATCCTCTGTTCCTGCAGCAGGTATTTCTGAGCTTTTTTTTTCTTTCTCCATCATCTTGTATATATATCCAACACTTAATTATTCTGTAGATGTCGTATCAGAGAAGCTCGTTGAGGATGAGGCTTTTCATGATGTAGGTCTCGAGAAACAGGAGTATGTCTCTGCATCAAATTTCTCGGGACCCGATATTAGATTATTGGCCGACATGCTGGCCGAACAGGCTACCCAAGGAACTGTGGGACCACCCTTTGAGGGTGATACATTCACAGGTATATATCTGATTCCCTTCATTTTGTCTGATTTTTTTTGTCTGACTAACGAAGGATTAATATTACAGTACCAGCCACAAGGACTGATTCAGTAATGATGCCCGGCATATCCAGTTTACCTCGGAGTGACGAACCCGCCGGTATGCATACGATCTAGGGCGTCATACTCCTTTTCATTTGTCTGATTTTTTTTTTGACTAATAGATGGGTGTAATCATAGGACCGGTTACTGGGACCGATACTCTTATGACTCCTGGCATTCCCCGTGTACCTGAGGACGATGGACTTGCAGGTATGCAAATGATCTTATCTAAACTTCCATTTTGACTAATAAAGAAGTGTAACTATAGGATCAGCCGTTGGGCCTGATGCCACTACAGTTTCTGGGACTGATCTGCCTACAGGTGTTGATATACCTTCCATGACTACTCCTGCCGTTATCTCGGAGCCTGTCAGACCTCAGTCCGAGGGGACCTCCGTTGACGTTGGTATGCTCGGAATTTGCCTTTAAATTTTCTTATCGTATTCGATAATCTCTTAGCTTTCCACACTGTTTCTTGTAGGATCTCGATCATCTCTATATGAGCATGTTCGTGCCCTCTTGGCCGATACCGATCCTGACAGAGACATTTTCCGTACAGACCTCGGCTTTTTTACCGCCTTTTTTAACGGCATGATCGAGAAACTGCTTCATCGAGGATATTGTTTTGATCAGTTCAGGCGTTCCTTTTCTCGTCACATGATGATGTTTAGAGAAGAAGGATATCCGGAGTTGGCTGATTCCTTCATTGCCGATTTTACTGCTCTGGAGTCGGAGATCCGAGAGTTGAAGGAATTGAAGGCTAATGGAGCTTCTTCCTTCGTGTCCTCTCAGATGGAGCATAGGCTGGCACAGTGGCGCGACCTGAGATCTTCCATCGGCAGTGAGCTTCAGTCACATGAGCATTCAGTTGCGCAGCTGATGGCTACCGTGGCGAGGAAGGATACAGGTAGAGCCGAGTTACTCAGCTCTTTGGATTCCGGCCGTGAGGAAGTGGCTAGATTGAAGGAGGCCTTGAGGCACGCCGAGGAGTCCGTTACTCTTATTGCAGAAGACCTGGCTGGATTAGAGCGTTCTCGTGAACAGACGCTCGAGAAGCTGGGATCTACACAGGAGAGATTGGTGAAGCTGAAGAATGAAGCCGCGAAGATCTTAAGCAGTTCCGAAGACTTTGTCCGAGCTAGTCTGCAGGCAGAACTTGAGCAGATCTATGTAGACAGACTTTCTAGTTTAGAGTTCCGTGTTCTTAGCCGTCAGTTGCCTTCGGGCTAACGAGCTTTTTATTGTATTTTTTTGACTTGATCTATTAATAGAGACTCTGCATTTGATTCCTTTATGGTATTTCTTTATTTATTTTGAACTCAGCGATGATAAGATTTACAGGATTTTTGGCAAACCCCCAGCTATCAACGGGTTTGATGTGCCTTTACCGATTACCGTTTGAAATCGGGCTAGCATGCGGATTGTCTGAATCCGTTCCGCATGTAACGCTGTGCTAAGCAAATCGCTTTTCTTAGACTTGATGCTATTATTTTGAATACATAGACTTAACCATTTCTTATAGGGAAAAGGTACCATGCACCGCGTATTAGGCGATGACTTATCCCTTCTTAGGTTTCGGGATAAAATTCCCCAGGTTTAGACCCTGGTGTCTTTTTCAATCGGCGAAAGACTAAACCGGCAATGTGTGTTAGACATAGACTTTAGGATTTTTTGGCAAACCCCCAGCCTTCAACGGGTTTGATATGCCTTTACCGATTACCGTTTGAAATCGGGCTAGAATGCAGATTGTCTGAATCCGTTCCGCATGTAACATTGTGCTAAGAGAGT